TCTAGTGTATCTGTATTAATACCCAGACAGTTTCTCTTATTATTCACTGACTCTATACCTCACATCCTGAGATGGCCTGGCTGGTCTCGGCAGCAAAAAAGAGCGAGTCCACACTTGTGGGGTCCAGTTGGGACTTCAGGAACCTGCAAACGTCCTGAAACACACATTTAAAGCCAAAGAGACGTTTAGTTTCTGAAGCTCACGCTGAACCTTTTTACACAAAACCAGGATGAGAAGAAAATTAAAGCGATTTTTTTAACCTTTTTACACCAAACACAAAATGAGGATAAGAATAAAATTAAAGCGATTTTTTTACCTTTTTACACCAAACACAAAACCAGGATGAGAAGGAAATTAAAGCGATTTTTTTACCTTTTTACACCAAATACAAAATGAGGATGAGAATAAAATTAAAGCGATTTTTTTACCTTTTTACACCAAACACAAAACGAGGATGAAAATTAAATTAAATGCATCCGCAAAGCGATTTTTTTTACATTTTTACACCAAACACAAAACGAGGATGAGAAGGAAATTAAAGCGATTTTTTTTACCTTTTTACACCAAACACAAAACCAGGATGAGAATAAAATTAAAGCGATTTTTTTACCTTTTTACACCAAACACAAAACGAGGATGAGAAGGAAATTAAAGCGATTTTTTTACCTTTTTACACCAAACACAAAACGAGGATGAGAAGAAAATTAAAGCGATTTTTTTACCTTTTTACACCAAACACAAAACCAGGATGAGAAGAAAATTAAAGCGATTTTTTTACCTTTTTACACCAAACACAAAACCAGGATGAGAATAAAATTAAAGCGATTTTTTTACCTTTTTACACCAAACACAAAACGAGGAGGATAAGAAAATTAAATGCATCCGCAAAGCGATTTTTTTACCTTTTTACACCAAACACAAAACGAGGATGAGAATAAAATTAGAGCGATTTTTTTAACCTTTTTACACCAAACACAAAACGAGGATGAGAATAAAATTAAATGCATCCGCAAAGCGATTTTTTTTACCTTTTTACACCAAACACAAAACCAGGATGAGAAGGAAATTAAATGCATCCGCAAAGCGATTTTTTTACCTTTTTACACCAAACACAAAACCAGGATGAGAAGGAAATTAAAGCGATTTTTTTACCTTTTTACACCAAACACAAAACCAGGATGAGAAGGAAATTAAAGTGATTTTTTTACCTTTTTACACCAAACACAAAACCAGGATGGGAATGAAATTAAAGCGATTTTTTTACCTTTTTACACCAAACACAAAACGAGGATGAGAATAAAATTAAAGTGATTTTTCCCCCTTACTTTGTGGTCGGGAACAGCCGCTCCCAGCTTGGTCAGCCCCACCACGGAGTAGTAGGCGGCCTCCAGGTCCTGGAAGGGCTGGCTGAGCTGGTTCTGGAGCCGGGCCACATCCGCCAGAGACAGGAAGTGAGCGGGTCTGAGGGCCTGGGCTCCGGCCAGAGCCAGGACCAGGAGGAGAAACTGCCCGAGAGGCCCTGAACGCACCAAGCACACAGCGAGACCACTCACGTTTCTGATAAACGTCATTTATCCAGAATGTATTCATCATTCAGTTTCTACCCAACAGCAATTGGCCTCATCAACAAGGCCAGTGACCCCCACCTATTCTTCCCACCCCCATCTACCTCACTAATATACACATTCAACATTGCACATTTCAATTGTTCATTTGTACATTCA